TCACTTCTAGGCTGATTTTTCTCCCAAATCCTAGTTAGCAGACACCTCTCTGCACCAAAGTCTCTAAAATAGAATTCACCTAACCAAGGCACAATGAATCACTCAGGCAAAAATAAGATAGTTATTAGTATTTCTGTGTTTGCTTATTTTAGCTCATAGTTTTATATTTTATATCACATATTGACATACTAACATATTAATATTGGTGTATAATTTGTTTTTTGTTTTTGTTTTAATTTTTTTATTGTTTTATTATTCATATGTGCATACAAGGCTTGGGTCATTTCTCCCCCCTGCCCCCACTCCCTCCCTTACCACCCACTCCACCCCCTCCCGCTCCCCCCCACCCCCTCAATACCCAGCAGAAACTATTTTGCCCTTATCTCTAATTTTGTTGTAGAGAGAGTATAAGCAATAATAGGAAGGAACAAGGGTTTTTGCTGGTTGAGATAAGGATAGCTATACAGGGCATTGACTCACATTGATTTCCTGTGCGTGGGTGTTACCTTCTAGGTTAATTCTTTTTGATCTAACCTTTTCTCTAGTTCCTGGTCCCCTTTTCCTATTGGCCTCAGTTGCTTTAAGGTATCTGCTTTAGTTTCTCTGTGTTAAGGGCAACAAATGCTAGCTAATTTTTTAGGTGTCTTACCTATCCTCACCCCTCCCTGTGTGCTCTCACTTTTATCATGTGCTCAAAGTCCAATCCCCCTTGTTGTGTTTGCCCTTGATCTAATGTCCACATATGAGGGAGAACATACGAATTTTGGTCTTTTGGGCCAGGCTAACCTCACTCAGAATGATGTTCTCCACTTCCATCCATTTACCAGCGAATGATAAGATTTCGTTCTTCTTCATGGCTGCATAAAATTCCATTGTGTATAGATACCACATTTTCTTAATCCATTCGTCAGTGCTGGGGCATCTTGGCTGTTTCCATAACTTGGCTATTGTGAATAGTGCCGCAATAAACATGGGTGTGCAGGTGCCTCTGGAGTAACCTGTGTCACAGTCTTTTGGGTATATCCCCAAGAGTGGTATTGCTGGATCAAATGGTAGATCAATGTCTAGCTTTTTAGGTAGCCTCCGAATTTTTTTTCCAGAGTGGTTGTACTAGTTTACATTCCCACCAACAGTGTAAGAGGGTTCCTTTTTCCCCGAATCCTCACCAACACCTGTTGTTGTTGGTGTTGCTGATGATGGCTATTCTAACATGGGTAAGGTGGAATCTTAGTGTGGTTTTAATTTGCATTTCCTTTATTGCTAGAGATGGTGAGCATTTTTTCATGTGTTTTTTGGCCATTTGAATTTCTTCTTTTGAGAAAGTTCTGTTTAGTTCCCTTGCCCATTTCTTTATTGGTTCATTAGTTTTGGGAGAATTTAGTTTTTTAAGTTTCTTATATATTCTGGTTATCAGTCCTTTGTCTGATGTGTGCCTGGCAAATATTTTCTCCCACTCTGTGGGTGTTCTCTTCAGTTTAGAGATCATTTCTTTTAATGAATAGAAGCTTTTTAGTTTTATGAGGTCCCATTTATCTATGCTGTCTCTTAGTTGCTGTGCTGCTGGGGTTTCATTGAGTAAGTTCTTACCTATACCTACTAACTCCAGAGTATTTCCTACTCCTTCCTGTATCAACTTAAGAGTTTGGGGTCTGATATTAAGATCCTTGATCCATTTTGAGTTAATCTTGGTATAGGGTGATATACATGGATCTAGTTTCAGTTTTTTGCAGACTGCTAACCAGTTTTCCCAGCAGTTTTTGTTGAAGAGGCTGCTATTTGTCCATCGTATATTTTTAGCACCTTGGTCAAAGACAAGTTGGTTATAGTTGTCTGGCTTCATATCTGGGTCCTCTATTCTGTTCCACTGGTCTTCATGTCTGTTTTTGTGCCAGTACCATGCTGTTTTTATTGTTATTGCTTTGTAATATAGTTTGAAGTCAGGTATTGTGATACCTCCAGCATTGTTCTTTTGACTGAGTATTGCCTTGGCTATTCGTGGCCTCTTGTGTTTCCATATTAAAAAAAAAGTCATATAAAATGCATACTCAGTTTGATTGAACTCAGGGAGCTGCATCCCCAGCCCCCTCAACTGGTAGGAATACACGAGTAAATGTTTACAGACCTGTGCTCTTAGTATGGATGCATTTTAATGGACAGTTTATCTTTTACCAGGGTTCATGTGCAATTAAAAAGGAGAAAAAAGCCTGGCTCTTCGCTGCTCTGTTCAACTGCTTTATGTTATTTCTGGTTGAGGAAAAGAGGAGGGTTTAAGAATGTGGACAGACTGTGTTCTCTGGCCTCGCTGTCACTACAATGGCACTTTGCTTCTTTCTTTCTCTCTAAGTCACTCCAGACACTTTCCTTACATGGGAAAAGGCTTTACCATGACTTATGATGTTATGGATGAAGAAACCAAAGACTGACCTTTATTCTTGGGCTTCCTCCAACCCAGACTTTGCACTCAAAATGTGGTGTTAGATTTCTTGAGTTGAAGGTCATGGCCAATAGGCAGTTAAGGTTTTCTCTGGTGGCTCCTGCCAAGAAAACTGGTAATGCTCTGGGATCCTCTATCAGTCTATGTTGATTTGTAGGGCTGGGGGTGTGGATTGTACATCATTGGGAACAATTACCTCCCAGAATACAATGCATCTTCTTTTAGACATCCCAGGGAGATAATTTGGACATATTGAAGATCTATAGTAATCAGATAATTACTATCGATTGCTCTTTAGACGTCTTGATGAGGTAATTAGGGCATCCTGGAAAGAAGCTAGAACTGATTGATTGGCATGACAGTAATCGCAAAGATTTCAATTATGTTTCTTTTCTTCTAATGATTTATAAACAAACATCATTTTAGCTTTAAAATTTGTCGGGTGCCAGGTTCACTGGGAACATCAGCTTTCTCTGTTACACTAACAAGACATGGAACAGGATCAACATAAGCTCATTATGCTTCCTGCTGAAGCAGAAGAAACTGCAATTAACCTTCAGTTTCTTTACTCTTCCCCATTTGCACACACAGCCCTGGAGTGGGGTGTGCAACATTGGGGAGGGTGGTCTTGGAGGGGCATGTGGAACTCTGAGCTGGATGAATCAGTATGTCCTACTGTGGACTCTCAAGACCTGTGAATGCAGGCACAGTAGTCAGGGCACATTGACACAACATAGATGTCAGAGTGGCTAACTGCTCAGCTCCTGTCACAAGTAATAGCCACTCATCACAACCACAGTAAGGAGCAAGTCAATACTGCCAGGCAGCTGAACCATGTACTTCTCTATATCATGGTACTCTTGCCTCATGGCTTCCATTAAACACTAATTAGAGGACTTCTTGTCTGAGACCACATTCCACATTATCATGGTATTTTCTACATCTTGTAGCACCTTTCAGCAGCTTGCCTTGTTCAGAATAGTGGCCTGATCCAAAGATGAGGGAGGCCAAGACCCCACTAAAACAGCAGCTTGAAATAAGCTGCTTGCCTCTCATCAATGATGTTGGTAAGCTCTGGATTTGTTAGTGTATGGGTTAGCATTCATTCAACACATGCAAAGAAGATGCATTTCTGTGCATTGAGCAACCTAGTTCCCACATTGGACATTCTCTCCTGTGACTCTTCTATACTTGGCACTCTGGTCAGTGCCCAATACATGCTGGTGGCACTCTTATTGAACACAAGTGATCTTGAGCTCCCTGATTTCTGTTGAAATATCACCAAAGAAGAAAATCAAGTGTTTTTGTAAAAATCTTTTGTTTTCTAGGACCCTTACATTTAAAAAGAAAGGCCAAAAAATTATACATACCATTAAAACTTTGAAGGTAGCAGAGGAGTAAAATTGAGGGAGGTGTTTCAGCCAAGAAAGGAGAACCAGTATATTTTGTTTATTGATAACTTACAGTGTGCTGCTGTTTAGATAATTGCAGCTGTAGTGGGAAATGCTTCATTAACTCCCATTAACAAGCTTGAGAAATGGAAGTAGATGTAGGACTTGTCTTTCTGTTATATCTTTATACTCTGAGTAAATTAGGGAACAAATTTTTCATCAACCACAATTCTTCAGAAGTGGAAAGTTTAACCTTAGTAACTATTTAGTTCAATATTTATTGTTTTAAAACCTTGCTAATTTGTGTCAGAAGATTTTCCCCTATTAGGGCATATAATGAGCACATTCTAGTTGTTTTGGTAATTGGGAATTGTGCAGTGAATCCCTTAAGCAAAAATTTTCATTTCACTTCAGTACATAATGAAATTATGAGTAGACTAAATGTTTAAAACACATTCCAAATGTTTGTTGGTTGGCCATATGAAATCCAGCATATGGGTTTGTCTTTTAATTATTTGCGCCTTTCCCTAAAAGTTAGTTGCAAATCTACTTTCTTGTGTATTTATCTGTATTTCCACCTATTTTCCTTCACTAAGTTTTCTCCAGTTTGAAGTTCTGGGTGTTATCCCTCTGCATTCGATGAAATAAGTTGACTTTGCTCCCTAGCACTGTGATGTAAATTGCCCAGACAGCTAAGAGGAAGCCCCTTCCTCATGCAGGATGGTAGGGACTTTGGTGTGAGGGAAGGTCTTAGGCCTGCAGAAGTGAGTGTTCATAGCATTGCCCAAGTCAAGTGTGTTGTTCAGGAGTCACAGTGAAGACACTCAATAAAAAAATTTTATTAGTGTATAACAGTTGTACAGGGGGATACACTGTGCTATTTACATATGTGCTTACAGAATATCTTAGTTAGATTTACCACCTCCAATGTTCTCCCTCTTCCTCCCTCCCCCACTCTTAGAACAATTTCAAAAGGTTTCATTCTTTTATTTTCACATATGAATACAAAATACATCCACCATATTCACCCTCACTCACCCCATTTGTACACACCCCCAGAAAATACATATTTTACCCTCCTGCCTTCTTTTTTTAGACACTCACTCACTTGATGAGAAAGCCAGCAGAAGTGGGGCAATTCAATAATGTGATTTGGTTTGGGCATATCATTGTAGGAAGTTTTACAACTCGAGAGACAGATGGGAGGACAGCTCCTGGAAGAACCCAAGGCTCTTCATTTTAAAGGCAGTACCCACAATCTGCGCCTGTCAATTCACGATATACCCCATTCCCTCTGGAAGAGCAAGCTGCTGGCTAAATACCAGGTAAGCCTACCGAGCTGAACCAAAGGCTCGGAGACAGCTCCAAGGAAAAAAAACTACAATTATGTACACAGATATCTCCTCGCTTAAAATTACTCATTTGTCAATACTTCTTTCTCCAAAAGAGTTTGAGGTCATTCAGGATTGTTGAAAAATACCTGATAGACATAATTGAGGGAATGCTTTAAAAAAATTCTGCTTAAAATAATCGTACTGTCATTGCTTTACTTTTAGTTAATAAGAGGTTTCCACTCCCATCATCTTAATTAATTTTTATAGTAAATGTGCACACTGAATTGATAAGGACACCCTCAAATATAACCATAGGAAAACAGGATGTTGTTACCCCTTGGGACACAAATTAGGCTTCAGGCTAATTTCAATCTTTCTAGGGCAGCATTCTTACGTCAAGAACTTCGAAGGAACCCATTTGGGAACTGAAATGGCATGTCAAAGTAAAATCTAGTCAGGATTGTATTAAATAACAAGCATCAAAGTACTGGTCTCAAGCCTCACAGTATATATCTGTGGAAAATTCTCATGTCTCTGTGGGGTTTTGCCTCCTCTTTTGTCAGTCAGCGTGAACACTCAGGAGACTAACTGTACTGATAGATCATGGCCCTTGATCCACCCAGGAAATGAGCTACAGTTAGAGGAGCTGTGAATCCATGTCTGCACACATGCAAATCTAACCCAACCCAGCCTTGCCACAATCTGGTGGCTACTTCGTGATCTAAGTCAATGAACATTGAGATGGACTGAAGAGAAAGCTTGTCAGTTCTATCTTTCCTGTCATAAATAATGTACCTATATACAAATTAGAGGAAGCAAATTAACAGTCATGAGATCTGATGAGAGTTGCATGAACAGCCTTCTCTATAGCACAGCCCTTGACCGAGAAATCATGCTTTTGACTTTCTCATGACCTTCTCCTCCCTTGCCTGCATTCTTCTATGTTGCCACTGTTTAAGAATGCAACAGATCTTTCCTGTCATAAATAATTCCCCTTATACCATCATAATGGAAAATACTATTTTAATAATGATAATATGATATTAAAGTAACCCTTACCACCGACCAAACACTTTGGTAATCTCATTGAACCCCAGCAAGTCAATAAATTAGGTACTCTTCTGCCTACCCTTTTATGGATGAAGAAACTGAGGTAGGAAAATGTATAATAATCTGATAATGATCAGATTATCAAGCAACCAACAGGAGACTGTTGTCATTCAGACTGGATTTGGCACCTGAGCCTCTGCTGTTAACCACCATGTTCCCGCATTTTTTTTAATGTGTTAACATTGTGCTTTATGGCAACAAGATTCTAGGATGAGCTTTAGGTGGTCTAGACTTTTAGAAAATTAATGTCTGCTACAGGCTTTTTAAGCAAGGACATTTTTGTGACAGCTAATTTCCAACAGCACTGAGTTTGGGTTCCCCCTGTCCTGACAGAGGGAACACAAGAGGAAATAGTGTTGGGCGTTATCCTCTAGGCTCTCTTTGCTTTTCTCCAGAATGTCACGGCAGGAATGCCTTTTAATGAGCAATGATGGTATGTGTAGGTTTTATTTTAGGAACTGTCTAAACTTTTTTTATTTTAAATCACTTTCAGTGGCTGTTTTTGCAAATGAGAAACTTGTGGCAGACTGGTTAGGTATGTGGTTCTTGGAGACTGACTCCTGGGTTCAAATCCCTACCCTGCCACTAAGTAGCTGTTGATGTTGGGTGAGTCATTTAACTTTTCTGGGCCCCAGTTTTTTTCATGTGAAAGGTGGTCAGGAGGTACCTGCAGAGGGACCTGTTAAGAGGATTAAATGAAGTGAAATTCTGAGAAAAGTACTCTGGCAGCAGAGTTCTGATAGGTACTTTTGGTTTGATTTCTCATCTGTGGTTAACACTTTTATAACCTGTAGGAAATTCCTTTCTACCATATCTGGAGTGGGTCTCAAAGGAACCTCCACTGCACCTTCACTCTGGAAAGACTCAGCCTAAACACAGTGGAGCTGGTCTGCAAACTCTGCGTGAGGCAGGTAGAAGGAGAAGGAGAGATCTTCCAGCTCAGCTGCACCGTGTCAGAGGTAAGACAACGCCCTTGTCGGTCTCAGAGATCAGGGGAGAAAACTACTTCCAGGAGGAGGGAGAGTGGGAAGCAAAATGTATCTCAGACCATACAGAAGTCCTCCAAAGCTTTCTTCAGTCCCCCTTTGCTAAGATGATAATATTTCAATCCACAAAGGGAAGTAGGGGCATAAAAGAATTTAACAGGAACCCTTTTTCAAAAACGAGTCTTACTTCTCATGAAGTGAATTTAAAAATCACATTCTAACTTTTAAAGACAGACCTGAATTTCAAGTGTAAGGCTGAATAGTGTGCACACATCCTCCATCTGCCCATCTTGCCTTGCTGATTCTCTCTCAGGGACCTGCCTACCTTTTCACCCTAATCATGGCTGCTGAGTGGGGTGAAGGAAGAGAAACTGGCCTCTGCACCCCCAGTTTTGCTTCTTCATTTTTTTCTCTGCTGAAAGGAGAATATCTCTTGATCTCCTTTTTCTCTCCTCCCTCAGTCTCCACATAGCAGTTTCTCCTCTTCCCAGGGTAGGGAAGATGTTCCAGGAGTCAAAAATCTACATATCTTCCTCCTGGTAGCCCTCACTTTTGCCTTGCTTTGCTATGATTTTCACACATTTCAGTTGGGCATTTTTATATTGCAGGAATAACAATGATCACTGCTATTTAAAACTTCTCTGTAAGGGAACAGGAGGTGCCCTTGACCTTATCTGTTCCCTTGCATCCAAAAGCTACAGTTTGAAAAGTGGTAACCCTTCACACTGGCGGAACAAAGGAAGAAGAATATGAAAGATGGTCAGAAGGCAGACTCTCCTGGGCCTCTTGGAGCTAAGCTCTGTGTTGCTCACTGTACCACAAAGCACAAGACTGTCATATTCCAAGACTACAGCGGCCAATGTATGATTTAAAATGTTACTTCTCCCTCTCCATCTCATGCATAGTGACAAATCTGAAGTGGCAGTCTGTTCAGCTGGTCTTGCTCTGCGTGTCCTATTTAAAGACAATCTTCCTTAGCCAACCAGAGGGGGAAGGGGCCATGGGAGCTCTGTGACACTCCATCCTTCTTTCCCACAGCCTGCTTAGGTGCGGTCATCATTTCCTCCTGTAGTTTCATGAGACTTTTGACTCATAAACAACTTTAGTCACAGACCCCAGTGACATTCATAAGGAATGATCTTGGTGTCAGGGTGCCATGGCAACCGCCAGGCCTTTAGATGGCCAGGCACATAGTACCACCCCTGCTGGCTCTGGAGGGTGTTTTCACTTTCCAGGCCCAGCAGGTCTGCAAAGTTCAATAACCACCCAGCTCCAGTGACAACAAAGACTGCAGAATTTTGGAGGGGGATGAGGAGGTCTGTTCCTTTGATGCTTACTTTGTGTTCAGCGTGAACATTTGCTGTGTGCTGAAAGGGTGGATCAGATGAGGCCACAAATGAAAGAGAGCTGTTCAGCACTGTCCCCCACTAGGGCTGCCTTCTCCTCACAAAGAAAGGACAGTTTTGCAGTGCCATCACAATTGAAGGACTTCTTTCTGGTGCCAACATAGAGGAAAGATTATTTCTTTTGCAATTTGGCTGCAGTCAGCTCAGAGAGTCAGCCCTGTAGTCACGTGGGAGGCATTTACCCATGTGTGACAAACACCCACATGTAACTGAGGACAGAAGTGACTAGAGTAAAGATGACTTTGCAGATTAACAGGCACTGCTGGCTTTACTTCTGGGTCACTGAGTCCCACTATTGGGGTTAGCATTTGAATGCAGGTTGGGGTACCGGGGGACGGAGTGCAGACCCGGTACCAAAGTTGAAGAAGTGTGAGGCGCTGTGCTGGTGAACAATTGAGACTCGGGTCCTCATCAACTCCCATGAGAAGCATCTAAGATGACTGACAACCCATAAACAAATAGAGAAAAGCCTCCATTTGTGGTGCTTTCTTCTGAATGCTGGTCCTTCCAGGGTCACAGGGCAAGGTGGCTGGTGGCTAGGTCCCAATTCCAATGTCCTTTCTTGTTAAATGAGCTGACTTGTAAGGAATATACTGTCCTCTGCCTTCAGCCACCTACCACTCAAGGACACTCACCAGCAGTCATTTGTAACCTACACAGACCTTGGCCTCTTTAGTCAGATAAACCTGTCGCCCACAACAGAGATCAGGCTGTGTGCGACACACAGAATGATTACTTCAAGAGCCACCAATTGATCCTCTTTGGTTCTTTCACTAGAAATTCCTTAAAAGCCGTTTGCTTCACAAAGATGAAATCTAAGAATGAAAATGTCCATTAATGTGAGTGAATGTCAAAATGTAAATGGTGATAAAAGACATTTCTTGGGTTTTTCTTTACTTTTAGTTTTTATTTTAAGACAGGTGTGTAGAAATAACCAGAAAGCTTCACATCACAAAGGGCAAAAAAAGTGGAGAAAGGGAAGAGAAGCTTATAATTTTGTCACAATTATATTTAGTTTTAACTATGGACAAAAACCTATCATAGTAAATTGGCAAGTGGAGCATTCTGTAGAAATATGGGGAATTATTTTTCCCTTTTGCCTCAGTTTCCTCATGCTTAATTAAGTATAATAATATATGTTGGGCCTGTTGTGAAAATTAGATGAGTGAATATTAGTAAATACTGTGAACAGAACTTAACCCATGGCACACACTTATGTTCACTATTTTACTGGTGTAGGGATAGCTAGGTTTTCTAGCAAATTCTGCTACCCCAGTTTGTGGGGTAGCACATTCATTGTGCTTCATCGTCCACCTAAGCTTCAGATTTCCTCCCCATCAAAAATAGACCCAAAAAACTCAGTTTCTATATAAATAAATAAAAACTAAATATAAACAAATATTTTCTCTGTTCCCAGAGAAAAGAAGATGGTACACATCCCCAAGTTTGTCACAAGGTTGATTTGGTTCATGGCTGTGAACCTTGGAAATGTGACTTGGGAGTAGTATCAATCACCTAATAATAGCTTTACAGATAATAATGACCATTCTTAAAACTTTTTACACTTTCTAAATCCTCTAACCTTTATTAACAACTGATGTATACACTTTTATGTATATAAGATTAGTATTAGGATATACAAAGTAGCATCACTCTGCTACAGTCCTTCTTCATTAGCTTATATTAATTTACAAAAGTATTTCATTATTCTGTTTTCTACATGCATATAATGTACTTTGAGCACATTCCCTCCCCGACTGGTGCTCCCCAACCCCCAAAACAGTCCCAGTTTTACATTCATGTCATTCTTTTTTTTTTTTTTTAGGTCTCGATTCTATCTATGAGAGAGAATATGCAATATTTGTCTTTCTCTGACTGGCTTATTTCATTTTATCTGATGATCTCCAGTTCTATCCATTTTCCTTAAAATGATATAATTTCATTTTTAGAGCTGAATGATACTCTACTGTGTATATGTACCACATTTTCTTTATCCATCCATCAGTTGATGGGTATCTGAGTCCATAGTTTGGCTGTTGTGACTAGAGCTATAATAAACATGGGTGTGTCGGTGACTCTGCTGCATGCTGACTTACTTTCCTTGAGCTATATGCCTGTGAGTGGTATGGCAGTGTCATGTCAGTTCTATTTTAGTTTCTGGAGGAATCTCCATACTGATTTCTATAGTGACTGTAGTAATTTACATTCCAACCAACAGCATATAGGGTTCTTTTCACACTCCACCCCCAAGTTCTTGTTAGCATTTGTTGTTGTTTGTTTACTTGATGTTTGCCATTTTGATTGAGGTGAGATGGAATCACGTTATTTTGACTAATGGCGTTGAACATTTCTTCATTTATTTATTAGCCATTTGTACTTCTTCCTTTGGGAGTTGTCTGTTCATTTGCCAATTTGTTTGTTATTTTGGTGTTTTACTTTTTTGAGCTCTTTATATATTCTGAATATTACTCTTTTATCCAGTGGATAGTTGGCAAAGATTTTCTCCCATTCTGTAGGTTGTTTCTTGATTTAGGCAATTGTTTCTTTTGCTTTTTAATTCCATGCAATCTCATTTGTCAATTCTTACTCTTATTTCCTGAACACTTGGAGTCCTAGTCATAAAGTCATTGCATATGTCTGTATCTTCAAGTATTTTCCCTATGCTTTGCTGTAGTATTTTCAAAGTTTTGGGTCTTACATTAAGACCACTGACCCATTTTGAACTGATTTGTGTGGGGTGAGAGACAGGGAGCTAGTTTCGGTCTTCTATATGTTGATATCAGGTTTTCCCAGCACCATTCATTGAAGAGGCTGCCTTGTTCCAATGTTTCTTTTTAGCACCTTTGGTATAAATCAGCTGCCCTAGGCATGTGGGTTTGTTAGTCCATATGTATATTTTTGTGCCAGTACAGACATTCTGACTATTTTCCTCTCTATAACATGCTCAAAATGACACTGGGGAACCTCAGCTTGGTAAATGACTTTAGAAAGAGTCAAAAGCTCAGTCCAGTGGCAGGCACCCATAGTCTCAGCTGCCCAGGATGCTCAGGCAGGAGGATTGCTTGAGTCCAGGAGATCAAAGCCAGCCTGGGCAACATAGTAAAGCTCTCTAAAAAAAAGTGGTTTGGGCTTGGGCTGTGGGTGTACCTCAGTAGTAGAGCATGTGCTTAACATGAGTGAAGCCTTGCAACATGTGCGGCCACCCATGGCAGCTGTTTGCTTAATGTTGGAAGATCATATGTTTAACTAAGGGAATCATAACATCAAAACAGATGGTACCTGTATCATAAAAGATTATTGTAATAAGCGTGCTGTGAGAGTAATAGCTCTACTTTTACCTGAAAGCAAAGGAGAAACTTAATGACAATTGAAATTACTAGAAGAAATGTAAGTGTATAGATGTATTTTTCTTTTACCTCCAAGACTATTGTCAGCCATCTGATAAGAGACACAAGAAATTCTGTCATATAGAGCTTGCTTCATCTACTAAGAAAGGATCAGGCAGAGTAGCCAGGGTGAGAGATGAGGATGTTAATTCACACATCTAATGGTGATGGTTCTTTATTC